GATTTAGTTAAAACACCTCCACTACCATTCTGAAATGTGGGATGCTGAATACATGAAAGACTACAGGCATTTTAATGCAGGTGTTTTAAGAGCTGCTCTAATTAACCCCCTCCCCACACCCTCTCCCTCAGGAGTAACATGTTAAAACGCCCAAGGTGCCTGGGTAGCTCCCCCACAAGGATCAACACACATCTGTAGCTGACATGTATTTGCTAACCTCATCCTACTTTTGGCTCTCTGTCTTTTTTTAATGCTCTGCCTGGCTGCCAGCAATCAGCAGACAGCAGAGCTCTCCTTGTAAAGGCTGAGAAGAACCTAAAGGTGGATGAGCTTGGCTGCTTAGCCCTGTCTGTAAATTGCTGGAGGCAAACTGGTAACATACCCTGCGTGGTGATCTCTGGTTCCTTCACGTCAGCACCTGTTCATACACAGAAGAGAAGGGGGTGAGTGAGAGGGAGCAAAAATCCCTGGGCTGGCTCAGCTTCTGGCCTAAAGACCCCGAGGCTCAGAATCTTGCAGGGTGGGAAATTCTTCCTTCCAGTTCAGAGCTGAGAGAATCACTTCCAACTGGGTTTCAATTAAATCAAAGATCTCCTGAACCTGGCATCCTTGGCTGATGGCAGTTTCCTCTGGCTCTTACAGCTCACCTGCCTTCCAGAGCCTGTTGACATGAGCTAGCTCTGCTCCTCAGCGCGGGGTGGGCCAACCTGCACTGCAGCTGTGTCAGTACTTGGAGAGGTGTCTGCAGTGATGGGGAGGGTAACATTTTTATTTTCCTACAGAAATGTGGTTCTAGGGAAAGGTATTGACTGAAAACCCAAAGGAGCAAAGCTCTCCACAGCTCTACAGGATAAGTATTGCCTGGGCAGCCGCAGCAGCAGCAAGTGCTGCCCTACCAGTGTGCCTCTACCTTGCCCTGCAGTGAGGCTGATTAGGATTCAAAAACACTGGCATCCAGGGCCAACCTTTTACAAGAGCTCTGCACACTGGTGGGGTGGCACCCAGGGTACAAAGCTCTGGGTGCTCCTTTTCTGTTTCAGTCTCTCCAGCCACCTTTAGAAAAGGCAATTCTGTTCCTGTTACTGCCCAAAGTGCCTTCAGAAGCCCCCAGATTCTGAAGACCAGAATATGAGAGAGAGAGATGCATCCTGAAAGACTGAAGAGATGAAACTATACTGAGAGACTCCTTTTTACTCTCCAAGGACTTGAGGATGCATATAAATAAATCACTCGAGATCCACTCTCATGTCTTATAATGGTAACAGAAACCTTCCATAAAAATACAGCCTAAGAGACAGAAGAAGGAAGGCCTGTGGGTATGTGTACAGCTCTGCTAATCAACCCACGTGCTGATGCATTCCAACATGGACACAAGAATTATACCTTTGATATTTCTCCTACAACTTGCAATCCTTTTATCCCCTTAGCAAGGCCAGGCTCCAGCCCTTTGGGGGGCCAAGTCCCTGGTAAGTTTTAGGCTCCAGCTGCTTTTGTAGGAACAATCTCAAAAAGCCTCCAACCTAAATGTCCTCTGCCACAGCTTGAGGCCATTGTTCCTGGTCCTGTCTCCTACAGGCATGGAGAAAAGCCCATCTCCATCCACAGCCATGGAGAAAAGCCCATCTCCATCCTCTTTAAAATTGTCCTTCAGGTATTTGAAGACTTTTGTCAAATCAAATGAAAGTAATTTGTGAGAGCTTAGCTTTGCAACCATGATGCTTCCTCAGTGCAGGTGTGGGGGGGTCTGGATTTGAGTTCAATGTATGCTTCAAAAAAAAAAAAAAAACAGCCTTTACTCTGTAGCCATATGCTGTTAGTCTAGGAAGGATGCAATATGTGCTTTATGTGAACTGAAGATAAAGGCTTGGTAAAGTTGCATTGTGTTTTTTACTTTAATCTGTTGAGGAGCAACCAGCGCCTCCATATTTCAAAGGTGCCTAAAGGATTTGATCCAAAACCCTTTGATGAATTTGAAATTTTCAGTTGCTAAAGACAAATAGATACAGGCTTTTCTTCTATTCCTACTCCAAACCCTTGTGTGGGGTCACAGTGATTTAAACAGTTACAGTAAGGCACAGCCAGTATTTTGATAAAGGGCTCTCTGCCTATCTAAACATGTCTGCAGGCCATGCGTAGTCACACAGAGACCAGAAGGAGATAGCTATTTATTTTTCCATTCAAACAAAACTGCTTTATCATAAAAATAAGCCAAACCATTTGGCAAACAGACTTTAGTAGATTTGCTGGAATATTATAGTCCCACTCCAGAGGCCTCTGTAAGTATGCTGATACCCTGTTGAGTGTTTGGGGTGCATAATGTGAAGGGTCTGTACCTGTATCTATGTACAAATGTAGTGCTTTGAGGCAAGTATTGTGGTGGGCAGGGCTTTCTTCCCCAGAAATTTCTTCACACACCAACTGGGATCTACTCTGTCCTAGGACAGTTCTTCATTGTTCACACTACTACAGGATCTGTAGTCCCGCTAGTCATGCACTAAGAGACATGATTCATGTGTCACACATGGGTCGTTTCTCAGTGGGGAACACTGTCTATGCAAGGGATGGTACTGGCAGATTTTTTTTTTTTTACCCTGCCTCAGTCTGGTGCATTCCAAAGGCAAAACCTTTTCTCCTCAGATGTCTGCAAGCCTGGATCAGCTCTGGAAGGGATGCCTTAATAAAGACCCATACGTAGTTCCATGTCTGCTAGAGAATGCAGTCAAAGCTTGCTGGCAGAAGCCAGACAAGGAGCCCTGAGGAGCCTGGTTGCTGTGTTTTGAAGATGCCACCTGATGGGGTGCTGTGAGGCTGAAACAGACATTGTCTGAAACAGTACACTGAGACCCACTGATGAGGTGCTGTATTCTCACCATGAACTTACCAAGTTCTCACCACTTCTGATTTACCCACCCTGTCTTCCCTGGGGGGGGTTCTTCCCCTTCTTACCTTTGGGTACTTTGCAGATCCAATCTAGCTGAGACTCACACTGCATGGGCATCCACTGCAAGGATGCCAGGTCCAACACCACACAGTTACGGATGTCATCATCATCATGGTTACTGCGATCGAAGTTGTGGTAATAAAACTGATGGCCAAGTAAGACAGGGAGAATTAGAGTCTGCTGCTCCATGAGAGCTTGTGGTGTCCATGCAGGCTCTTAGGGTGTTTATACGTGTGTTCTGGGATGGGGGGAGAAGGGGGCACTTTAATTAGAGCAGTTCTGAGAGCCACTCTAATTAAAGCACCTGGAGCATCTTGTGTATCAGTGTCCCTGCACTTTAAAATGATGGCAGGGGTGCTTTAACTAAAGCTCATCAGAAGAGCTTTAGTTAGAGTGCCCCCATCACCATTTTTCAGTACAGAGACACTGATGCATGAAATGCTGGAGGCTGCTGGAGCGTGGCAATTACCATGCTTCAGCAGACTCCACTTGAGCTGTAATTACAGCACACTGGAGCAGCCTCACTGCTTGTGTATATGCACCTATAGCTTGGTCTCCTGGTGCAGTAGGCCAGGCTGCTAGTCTGTCAACAGCAAGCTGATATTTTGACTGAGAGACAGAAGCTGAAGTCTGATTTTTCAGCAGAGGGCAAAGCTCTCCCACGTACACCTGGCCACCTGTGTAGTGCTGCATGCAAGAGAAAAGGCCAGCCCAACTGATGATCTGCTGCATCCCTGATTGTCCCATCTCACTTTATTACCAAGGGGAAACCTTCCTCACCTTTCATAATCATCTAGGTTCTTGTAATGCAAGTGTGAAATGCTGCTAGCACTGCATGGCTGTCCACTTTGCAGGAGGAGTGGGTACAGGGAATCGGTCCCAGAAGAAAATTATTCAGCCCTTTTATTTGAGATGTAGCACCCCCCCCCACGCATACACACCAGGTTTCCTCCCCCATCTCTGACAGCTATGCCAGCAGGTATACCAGCAAAGAGAGTCTTCTAATTTATTCCATTTGGGAAACTAGTTTGAGCTAGAGAGACCAGAAGAATGTGGCCTCTAGTGGAGAGACTGCTGAAACAAGAGCTAGGTGGGTGCTGGGTGTCTCATCCTTTTAGAGAAGCCATGTGTTGTCACATAGTGAAGTAGGGGAGTTCAGGCTCTTTTGGTGTCAGTCCACAGCTTGCGTTTCCCAGTGATGCCTTCCAGAAGTCTCACTAGTACCTCTCTGCTGGCTGCCTATCTTTCTTTCCACCCCAAAGGAAGTTACAGATCTTGGGGACTTTGACACACAGAGAATGAGATAATCCTGGAGCCTGGCCAGCATCTTCCTCACTCCCTAAATCAGCTTTAATGCACATAGGGGTGGGAAAAGCATCTTCCTAGGGCCTTGACCACTGGTGGTCATTAGAGAGGGTGCAGCGCTTTCTGCGAGGGCCAGGGTCTCTACTAGTATAAACTGGCATGGCTGTGTTAAACTGAAAAGAGAAAAGTGTGTTGCATCAGCTCCAGGTCTGCCCCCCAGGTGTCCAGGCCACATTCCACATGGATAAGAATCACCTTCTGCCTTCCTAAAATTCCCCCTGGCTATTTAAAAGGTTCCTGTTAAGCCCCCAAAAAACTGACCAGTGGTGTAGAACTACTGATGTTTCCCTGACTGGGCTGCATTCATACACTGGTCTGGGGTGAAGTGGCTCCTGTCTATCTATCCATAATGAGATGTCACATGAGTCTCATTGCAGCATGTGACACCTCCATGTGCTTAGGAGATCATAACTGACCTAGCATCCATTGCTGCTCATAGCGCAGAGCACTCACCCCAAGGCCATCACTCCATCGCCAGCTCCTGTCGCTGGTGGGGTCCCGCCGATTCAAGCCAATCCAGAACCAGTGCTGCTCATGGATTTCTGGTTCTGATTCACTGGGGAAAGCACATGCCATGATAAGAAAGAGAAAAGGGAACAGAGCCTACCTAACTAGCAGCTAAGCCCTGCTAGATCTGTGTTTGTATAAATGCCATGTTTAAAGTGCATTTATTAACAATTTTATTTATGCTTGAACCAAGCACCCTGAAGGCAAGAATGCAGGGCTACTTTATTGATTTGCAAATTAAATTGTCTCAGCTGCTTTGCAATATCTATGTTGGTCACTGCCCATCTGCCACAGATGCGGGGACCACACAAATGTCCATTCCTAGCCACTAATTAGCCCCATTTTCACCATACAGACCAAGGCACAGTTTTATCCCAGGACTACCTGTGAAGAAAACATACACTTACACTTTCTGCTTTCATGCATGCATGCCTTGGTAACATTCAGGCCCATGCACATACCCAGCCAACATGTTGGCACACTAGCAAATATACATCTGTGTGCACACAAGTATAGGAAATATAGGGAATAAGGAATGCTGGATGGGATGGGACCAATGGCCCTGAAAGTACAGAATCCTAACTGATCAGCAGCAGAAGGTATGAGGACACTTTGACGGTATATCTCTACCACATCCCTGCTGCTGCCAGGACATGTATGTACCATCCATCCACCTTGCCGCACCAAGCCCATGGACTTCTGCAGTCACCTCTGAAATGGTCTCCACAGTGATTGACTGCAGCTGCAGGGATGCCTGTGGAGCAGCCTGACTGCTGCATTTCTGGCTTTGGTGTGTGCTCAGAAGCATGTGCCCAGGCAAGGGCAGGGGTGCCAAAAAGGGAGCTCTACAGCAGCTCACTGGAAAGTTTCATTTTCCTATATTTATGTATACATATGCAGCCACCAAGTGACACTCTGAACTTACCCACACACAGACAAGTGGACATATTGGATGTTTATAGACGTGAGGGGGGTTGCTTTAATTAGCGCAGCTCTGAGAGCCATGCTAATTAACAGCACTCAGAGTACCACATATATCAATGTCCCCATGCATAAAAGTGGCTGTGGTGTGCTTTGAACTAAAGCTCATCAAACGAGCTTTAGTTTAAAATGCCTCGCTGCCATTTTTCAGTGTGGGGACGCTGATACACGTCATGCTGGAGTCTGCTGGAGAGTGGTAATTGCCACGCTCCAGCAGATTCAATTAATTGAGTCTGCTCTGATGCACTGTGAGTACAGCCTCCCTGTACACGTATAGGAGCTCATTTTGTCCATACTAAGGTGCATGTAAAGAGAAATACATCCCCATGCCCGCACACACATACACACACACACAAATGTGGTGCTGCAAATTCATGCACACACAGTCACAGACACCCAGTGCACATGGCCCAAGCCTACACGTGTACTCTCACACACACACACACATACATCAGGGTATAGATGCATGCACACACATACATACACTTCTTGTAAACTGGTCCTTACCCAAAAATCTTGTTGAGCGTGTTGGCTATGAAATGTTCTTCCTCATAGCTGCCCAAGCTGAGCAGCTGTGCCCCAAGCTCACGGCAAAACAGTTGAGACATGATCCAGGTCTTTTTGTCTTGCAGCTTGTCAAAGTGAAACACCTGGAGAGGGAAAGAAGGTGGAGAGGGCTTGCTGCTCTGCTCTACTCCTAATCCTGGGGTGGGGGCAAATACACAGAGAGAGGTGCTAAAGTCCTTTCCAAGCTCCTTTGAGGAGTTTGGCTTCAGGCATGGGCCAGTGCCAGGGGTTTCACAGTAACTTTGGAGTCTCAGCAACATGTGCACCCTTTGTAGACGAGATCCGAATTTCCATGCAGCACCATCTCCCTGAAGCTGCCCCCACTGCTTTTTAAGCTGCTTTAAGTATCTATGGTACCCTGCAAGGAGGAGGAATTGGCTGCCCAGTGATATGCATGTACAAGGAGTCAGCAGAATTCAGCCCAGTTCAGGCCTTCAGCAACAGGCTGGGATGAGAGGGCATAAGAACCCAACCCACCCCTACTACGCTCTGCCCAAGCCTAGATTTGTTCCCCTTCCTTAATCTGTGGATTCCCCCTTTGCTTTTGATCCACACTGCACCTGTAAGCAACCTGCTCTCCTGGCACTTCTGCAGACAACCCTAAAACGTTGGATTCCACTCCCAAGCTCTGCTCCAAGGAGATGTTTTGACTGCATTGCTGACAGCTGAAGGTCTCCTGTGAAGTGTGTCTCCCAAAGTGCTGTCTGGTGAGCTACCACCAGTGTGAATGTGGCCTGCAGCCACTGAGAAGCCTCCCACCCCAGCAGAAATCCTGAGAAAACATCCCGTTTTGGAAGTTGCCCCCCACCCACCCACCACAGCAGACGTCTGTCCCCTCACCAGTAGTAACAAGGGGTGAGACTCTCCATGGGCAGGGCTTTCTTCAGGGGCATGACTACCCCTTTCACATGCAGTGGGTGCAAAGGTTTGCAGTGGCTGAGTTTCACACCCTCTTTTCACAGGGGCAAAGACACCAAGTGCAGGGCCAGGAAGAAGCAGGCTCTGGGTGTCAGCAGTATCCTGAGCTACTAAGAGCATTCCTAGCCTGAAGCAATTCAGGTCATATGGAAAACATGCCAAGTTGCAGCAGAATCACACTGCATCTATGAGGGTGGTAACCAGGGGGTACAGGAGAGACCCAGGGACTGGAAATGTCCCAAGAACTAACAGTGCCCTGTCTGCCACTCCAAATACTTTTTGCTGTAAATACTCTCCTGTCCAGTTGTAATACCTCACACCCTACCACATCGAGTCCTGGATATAGGGCACAGGCCTGAAGAGCCAACCCTGAGTCCACAGGGACCCTTCCTTCCATCCCCCATAATAACAACAGAGATACACATATGGAGATGTAAGTATTCCCTGGCTTTAGGCCCCTGCTGCAATCAGTACTCTATAGACCCAGGCTGTGGCAGGTGGGACATTCCCCCACTACCTGCTCAGCATCCACCTACCTTCCTGGAGGAGTCCAGCATCTACAGCAGCACTGACCTGCCCAAGGCAACCCTCCCTGACCCACTAACCAGAAAGGAGAGCAGGTAAGGGGATGGGAGGATGCTTATTTTGTAACTGTTTTGATTTGTGGGAGTTCCATTGCCAGTCCTGTCCACAAGAACCTTTAAGAGCCTTCCCCAGACTGCCATGACTCTGTATCCCTGCCTGTCCAATGCAGAACAGGGGCTCAAAGGCATAACTCGCCCTGAGTGCCCAGGGAGGGCATGTGTGTGACACACTAACCAGGTGGGGTTGCCTGTCCTGTCTTCTTCCGTATAACAAAGCCACCAGATACAGAGCAACTTGTATTCTTTACTGCTTCTTACAATTGCTACTTCTGCTGCTTTGGGTAGCATTGTTGCATCCTCTACAAACAGCCTGGCTTTCCTGATAGTCCTAAAGAGCTTTTCTGTGTCGGTGACTGACAGCTAGGAGGTGAGGCAGGGCTACGGGCACCTTGCTGCCTTCCTCTCTTACCTACCTTGTAGCAGTGTCGGAGCTTGGGGTCTGAACTCCATCCCTGAGGGCAGGACCCAGTGAAGCTGGGTGTGGGGTACGAGGCCGGTAAGTCGGGGTTCACTGGGGTGCCCAAGTTCTGCCTGCAGATGTACTTGGCCTTGAACGTGCTGCAGTTCTTTACCTCCCACAGCCCCATGGAGCTCCCAGTGGCCAAGGCAACGCAACCACCTTTGTTGTAACCTATAATTTTTACAGAGGTGGGGAAAAGACATCAGGATTAAGCCATGACAGAAGGACATGATCATCTCCTACCATCAGCCAGGGCCAGATCAATCTCCAGGCCCCTTGTGACCACAACTCATCCCTGAGAGCCCAGAGGGTGTGGGCCTGAATGCAGAGAGGACAAAGCCCTCTTCTAGGGATGGAAGGATCTATTGCTGGCCTTGATTCTCTGGAGGCCCAGGAGGCAAGGACACCAATGCTCTTCTTTGGAGAGGTAAAATGGAACCCCTTCTCCCACCATGCAGCCAGTAAAAGATGGTTCCCTGAAAAGGTTGTTCCACTGTTCAGTGCTAGCTAGCCCCAGAGCTGGGCAACTGTGGAAGATTCCCCCACAGACAAACAGACTGGACTGTGAGGATGTTCTTTAGCTCTGCTCCAACCCTGGCTCTTAGTTACCCCCCACGTGCTGCCATAGTTAGCTCCCCAGATGCTTGGGGTCCATACCCATGCAGATGTGGAGCCACCTCAGAGACAGAGAGAGACCCATTATTAGTCTGTTGCATATTTCCCCATTAGTTCCTGGCCATAATACTGTCCCTCTCTCTGCCTTCTGCAGAGTGGCAGGCAGCTTAGGCCTGTAGGAGGCAGGAGCACCACTAGTGTGGGGTGAGGGAATGCAGTGGGACCCTGTGGTAAGAAACTAATGCCTTCTGGGACTGCTCTACACCCTACCAGCCCAGTCAGTTGGCATTTGTGTCCTTACCAGGCTGGTCGCGGTTCCAGTGGGTGTACATGACCTCATCACCACTCAGCCAGCGGAAAGAGCCTGTCTCATTGATGTCCTGCAGCGCCGTCCAGAAATACTCATTTTCCCAGACATAGATGAGGCTGCTTACATACGCCTGCTCAAACCTAACATGGGAGAACACAAGTCATCCTTACTGTTCAATATCCTCCAGGTATGTTACAGCTCAAGCTACAGGAACTCTGGCTTTAAGCCCTGGGAGTTCCCAGACCAACCCCGAGTGTCATTCAAGATGGCCGCTGTTACACGAGGTGGAGGTCTTAGGGTATGGACAAACAAATGACTATGTGTTTATTTGCAAATTAATTTGGGTTAAAAAAGAGGTGGGAGCAGCTGACACATTTGACCAATCCATGTGTCTGCTACTACTCTGTGGTAAGTGAAATCTAACTGGGGCAATTTAGCCCTCAGTGAAACAGGGCTAAGTTACTGTGTGATTTGACTTCTTCCTCCCTATGGGGTAAGAATGGACACAATGGACAGTTACTGCAGAGCAGCTTTTCTTCTGCTGCCATCTGTTGGCTTGTCCACACCCTTATACACTTCCTGCTATGTCCCCCAATGGCCTTCAATCATGGGTAGAAAGTGTGTTTGTTAGTCTATTCCCTGCATAGCATACAGCAGGGAACTGATTTTTCCCAAGGGTGAACAAGGAGTCCCAGCTCCCTGTCCTTTGCTCAGACAGACAAGTGCCAGTAATGGAGCACTGAGAATCTCCCCTTGAGTGAACCCAAACTGCTGTGCTAATAAAGCTGATCCCTGGGGCACACACACCTGTTGGTGATGGTGACCAGAGTGGCCCCATAGTCAGAGCACATCTTCCGAGCCTCGCTGTATGTTACGTGGTCTTCTCCCAACCAATAGCAGGATGGGCTGTGCCATTTCCAGCCCTGGGTGGCACAAGGTAGTAATAATAGTTACACATTCTTGAAGATACCTCCAACTACAGCTTCACCCACACAGATATGCTTCCCTTGGGCCTTTTGCACACAAACATAAGTGACCAGTTAGACAGACACTTGGTTGAGGTGATTTAGCCAGGGATGATTCTGGCTTGACCTCATGAAGTCCCTTCTAGTTCTTTCCTATGAATCTATGACTCATGGAACATACTGCTACAAAAATGTTAACAAAACCCAGAACTAAGCAAGATCCACAAAAAAAATAAAAATAAAACATTCACTGAACATTTACACAAATCAGAACCAGCCCTTCATTTTCACCAGTCAGGATAATGGAACATAAACCTTCCAGCTTCAGGACACAAGAGTCTATTTGCTGCCTAGCCTTAGGAAGAAGTTTCCATCAGAGACACATCAGGGTGTACCAGGTGTGTTATCTCCAGGAAAGGTAGGGAAGCATTAGTGCCGTTGTACAAGGCATGGTGAGATGTCACCTGGTATAGGACTGCACAATTCTGGGTATCCATGCTGAAGACAGATGAATCCAAACTGGGACAGTACCAGCACAAGAAACTCTCACACAAGAAGAGACCAAGAGAGCTTGGCTTCCTTTACAAAGCAAAGGAAAGCCCGAGAGGAGATCTGATTGCATCACAGAGGTAAGCTACGTAAGCTAAAAGGGTATGGGTGGCCCAAGAACAAATAGTTTCATAGTTTCTAGGGTCGGAAGGGACCTG